ATCTTTGTACCAACATCTTGGAATAAGAGAAATATGAAAATAGGCCTTTTCAGACTGTAAAAGAACACAAAACCAATAACAGCAAACTACTCCACTATCAAATAATAAAATGCATGTGCATAAATGAAATCTATTTTTTAATAGCACTACATTCTGTCTAACATGTGAATTATGTTCGATTGATTGAACATCCCAAACTTCAGCAACTAAAGAATAATCAACCTCTTCAAGAAGTTCATCAAACTGTATCTGACAGAAATCATACTCAAATTCAATCGGCCCATTATCAACAACCTCTAATATTAAATTATATAGATCCTTAAAACTAACCCTTTTGCTACAATATATTACTGCCTTATTCATTTGATCAGTATGTAACTGTAAAATTTTAGACATCACATACTTCTGCAGAATATTATATATATTGAAGAAAAGTCATCCAGGAACACTTGGTATCATATATGATGCTATCTTTTTATACCAAGCCGCAAACCGACTAGCAAATTGTTCTTCTGCAATATGTGATTCAATTCGGTTAAACAGAACATAAAGTTGAGTTCTTTCATTTACAGTCTGTTTGATTATACCGTTTATTGATTCAGATCATTAGGTAGACGTTATCCCTGCTGTAAAAACCCGACCTGTAAATGCTTTTGCCCAGTTTGTTTTACGTGGATCAAGCTGTCTAAGTAGATATTCAGTTGATTCTAGAAAATCAATCATAAGTTGTTTTCAGTATTCCTCAAATGTTTCTTTATATAAAATATTTCGGGCATAATAAAATACTTTGATAAAGTCTGCATAACGATCACCAAGAAGTTTTGCAAGCTGCTTTTTAATATTACGCCCAATGTGCTAAACACAATAGAGAAGGTAGATATCAGGGTATATTTCAGGAACAACACTTTCAAGACCTGGATCTGCATCAATCATAAAAGCTCTGGGCTGAACTCTTGTAGTTTTAATTGTTTGCTATAGAACCCATCTATAACTTTCACTTGTTTTATTGGACAATATTGTCTATGCAACAATTCGTGATTTGAAATTATTATCTACAACAGCAAAAATGCTTAATGGCAGTTTATAGATGTTGGTCGCTGCTGTATTATTATTTAAAATGATATCTGTATAATATCATCAAAGTTCTCGTCGTTCAGGGGGCATATAGAATACACCTTGTAATCTATTTGTTTCTAGATCAATTAATGATTGAACATACCAATCAGGATTCTTGATACATTCTTTTTCAAAGTATTGGAAAAGCTTTGCGGTATCACACCCTGTATATCATGAGTATGACGAACCTTATACACGTAGTTTTTCATATCATAGTCCACAATTGTGGCATCAGGAAATAACCTACAGAGTAACCGAATTTAGGATGAGACATCAATATCACAAATTGTATAACTTTTAATAAGCTCCTTCATATCTGTGGTAAGTTTCCGATAGCTAGTAGCAAAGCTAGCATTTTTAGGAATCAACTGATGGTTGTGTTCAGGATGCATCGATGTCAATTTAATTATAGTTTCATTATCAGGGCCCTTACTCTTGTACGCATTTACCAGAAAAAGACAACCAATCCTTTTTGAACCCTTATTTCTTTGCTTTTCGGGTGGAGCAGTTTTATGTGAGACATATTTACCAGACCGTTCACAGTTCCAAGTACGCTATCATAGATCACAGCTATTATCTACTCATTTTTTTCTGATCGCAAAGTTATTTTGACGTGCATAGCATTCTAATGTCTCCTGATATTCTTTCCAAGTTCCAAAGGTTTTTTCACAGTAGATCTTAATGCAGATTGGAGATAGGTGCCCATGTTGATAATTATCTGTATTTTTAGAGATATTATCTGATTTACTAATAATATCAATGTCCTCTTCAAGTTCAATACCAGGTCCATCTTCAGGTTCAATACTAGGTCTATCTTCAGTATCCTTTTCACATTCAATTGCAGGTCCATCTTCAGTATCCTTTTTACGTTCAAAACCAAGTTCACCTTCTATATCCTTTCAAATCTTAAATCATTATTGCTTTCAATTCCACCATATTTAATGTTCTCGATTCCACAATATGAACTTTCATGTATTAACGGTGAAATGTTTTCTATACTAACCAAGGGTCTTCATGCTATTAAAAAAAGAGTAGGTGCCAAAATAATAAATGATTTTGTTGTACAGTTGGAAAAAAAAA